GCACACACGCTCTGCCCCTCTCTCGCCATTGGCTACTGATGGAGAGGCTACCTGGTTGCCTCGGTAGCCGGGGAGTGGTCTCAGTCCTAAACTGGGTATAACAGCCCAGTCAGAGCCCTGGCTCATTGCTGAGTTATTCTATCCCTATGGTGTGATCTCCCAGCTCCCTGTGCCTTGAACCTATCTTTATTCCTGAACATCTGCTTGGACTCCTGATTACCGACCCTTTGGCTTACCCTTCCGTTACATCGGGCAGAGCTCAGAGGTTAGAGCTTCGGCCGGAGCAGCTCTGCGGTCTGCATCCGAGAGAGATGCAGACCGTGTAGCTGCTCCCGCAAGTCAGGCACACGGTCCGTGACCGTGTGCCCGACTTGTCAGCTGGCCACTTAGTACCAGCTTGCAGGCCGGAGTTGGCCCATGGGCCGGTACTTTGAGTCCCCTGGTTTAGAATGTCCTGAGGGCTAGAGACTCACATTAACCCTTCTGACAGACATACCTCACAGACACATCAAATGTGGTATCTACCGTGTTTCCCCGAAAATAAGACACTGTCTTATATATTTTTTTGGCTCAAAAAAACACACTAGGTCTTATTTTTTTTAATGTACAACAATCCAAAGTTAATGCAAATCCAAATAAAATAATACAAAATGGCAAAATTAAGAATAGGGTGATGAGGGCAATCGGGGGTGCCGTACCTATCCAAGAGCAATTTGGTAACCAGAATGGGCGAAGCACGCTTTCACTATGGATTCCTCACAGGAGGAGCGCATTTGGTATCACTCCGCCTGTGATAGGAGCCGGCGCTATAGAGGAGGCATCGGCTTATGGGGCTATCCTCCCTCCAGTGCCGCCTCGCTTCCTCTAGCCCTGGCTTCATTGGCACCCCTGATTCTCTCCCGCGGCTCTTCAAGTTCCCCCTTATGCCACCACCGGCCCTGGGAATGGTCACCACTAGGTCTTATTTTCAGGGTAGGTCTTATATTTTAGCAATTCTCAAAAATAGTACTAGGTTTTATTTTCGGGGTAGGTCTTATTTTCGGGGAAACAGGGTATACAAAGCCAATTTCATAACACAATAATCTATGGTTTGTCAGGTGGTAATATATGAAAATATAGTAATGTGGTTATTAATATGATACTGACAGTTTGGGAGGGGCAAAGGTGAAGGTTATAAAGCACTCAGTCCTCTTGATTCAATCTCCCCGATTATTCCTGATTGGGGTTAGGGGGCTGGCTCAGTGACACCCCCTAGAAGGCCCACAAAAAGCTGCTGCACAAGGCAGCCAAAAGCTCTTGTCCTAACATCAAAAGTGGAGGCTTGTGTGACATTAAAGAAGAAGCTCGTATTAACATGAAGTAATTAACCTTTACTAGCCCGTGGTGGCAGCTATTGTTTGTGTGTAAAGGGTTAACGGAGTTATCCAACCCCAGCGACGATCGCTCTCAGTCTTCTTGCCTTCGATTGCTGTCCTTATAGCTGGGAAATCTCTGCGCAGGGTGAGGCTCAGAGTGATATTGCATGTCCTTGTGATGACACGGTAGGATCGGAACTGTGTATAGTCATGTGTTGGTGATGTGCAGTGGGTTCGGACCAGCCGCTCCACCACAGGTTGTACATCTATCTATGCCGTGGGCTCACCCAAGGGAACCAAATGCACCCTACTACCCTAGTTCACTACATATATACAGAATATGAATATATATAATACACCTTATAGAAATTGTTGACTTTTTCAACATTAATGAGCAAGCAATCATTAGATCTTAATTTAAACAGTGTCTACAGACAAAGAGTATATAGAGACTAATGATAGATAAAACCAAATATTGTATTTATTAATCTCATAAATAAATTCTCATTCTCTAAATGATTGAAGATACAGATTTGTCACATGGAAAAATCTGTTGTCGTAGGCCATCATCGGTTGCTAAGATGCTGGTGGCCCCATAGTTTCATAAGTTGTCATTTGGGGGCCCAACTGTGTCTTAACAACCAATCACAATTTGAAACTCACACATCAACATTAGTTGGCTGGTAACTGCGCCACACACCATCATTGATTGATACAGTAGGACTCGGAGAGGTTTAGTGGGAAGGCAAACTGGCCAGATGGTTTTCCCATTTACCATACTGCAAACAGTCTGGGTTCAAGTTGAATTTATAGTCTGTCTGTTTAGGCTGAGCCGTAGTGACACCCGAAGCAGGGGAGAAAGGTCGGCCGAGGCAGACCGATGTCCCCACGAAAGACAACAGCTGGGCGGAACCGGCCGTAATGTCACGGCTGACTCTGCCCAGTTGTTGTCCTTCAATGACAGCCCAGCGTCCTCGAGGACACTGGCTGTAATTACATTTAAACAGTTGGGCAGAGCCAGCCATGATGTCACGGCTAGCTCCACCCAATTGTTTATAATTTGCCGGCATCTGTCAGAATGCCATTCTGTGGCGGGAGTTTGATGCGAGCGGGCGGGTCGGTGGGTTTTTAAAAATAATTTCCATTTATTTTTCCTCGTTTTTTTAAAAATTTAGTCAAGCCGTAGTCGTGGACAACGCTGGACGTCGTGATTGACCCTGGATTACGTCGATGGATCCATTTAAAAAATAAAATAAAAGACTTGTCAAAAACATGTCTTTTTTTTTTTCAATTAAAGGATTTTTTCAAAAGTCTGGTGTCTTTTTTACTATTTTACTTTAACCCTTTAACACTTGTTAGTGAATGGGTAGGGGTACAATTACCTCTTACTCATTGAAAAGTGGGGCGCATCTGGGTGCCCTGATGTGAATAAGCCCCCCCCCCCTGCCTGCACCCGCGCTTGCTTGTCCCCCCCTCACTTTCTGGCCCTGCCAGACCTTTTTTCTAACTTGGGTCCCTTCTAAAATGCTTACCAGACCTAAAGAGCCTGGTATGACTTTTGCGGGGGGAACCCACACTTTTTTCTAACTTTCCTGCCAGACCTATAGGATCTGGTATTGTTTGGGAGGGGGACCCCATGTTGTTGTTTTTTTCTTCTCTTTACATTTTTTTTTATATTTTCTTAACTTTTTTCATTTATTTTTTCTTGACATTTATTTAAATCATTTATTTTTTATTTTCACTTGTTTAATTTTTTTTCTCTTCTGCTACCACTGAGTTACCGAGCAGAACAGCCGAGCCGAATGCCGGTCAGAGGCATTCACCCAGATAGCAAGCAATTGAGCTGCAAGTTTGAAAATGACTTGCTTAACTATTGCTAGACTTGCCGAGCTTCACAATTTTGTTGCACAATTACAGCAAGTCTGCATTGCAAGTCCCCGGATCAACGTGCTTTGCAAAAGTGCTGTGTACACTTGCAGAGCTCTTGCTAAGACCTGCAGGACTCTTGCTGTAGACTTGCCAAGCAAATTTGCTACAAATTCAAAAAGTGTCACCTAGAACTTGTGCTGCGAGTGTTCTGCAAGTTATAAAGAATTACAATTTAACCCTGACACAAGTTTGTGGCACGTTATCCTTGCTATCTGGGCAGCTATTCACTCACTGCCGTTTGGCCCCGATGAGAATAGGAGTGAACGACAGCAAGTGAATTGCCGGAGCTTCGACTCAGCCAATCCAGATGTTGGATCGGTTGAGTCAAACTCCTTCTGCACTTTGGCTCAGCCAAACATGCAGAGCATGTTCGGCTGACCGAAGGCAGCCGATGTGTAGGCGGAGTTATGGTGTTGCGGCTTCACAGAGGGAATCACATGTATTGGTCTTGCAAACAAAGTAACGTTTAATGCCCGGAGAGGCGGTAGTAGAATAATAGTATTTACAACAGTGGGTAAAACGGTTTACCTTCAGGCATGGAGGGCACAGGTACACAGTCTAGTTACATCTGTTATAGTCTGTAGTATGGTGAATTAGCACTGTAGACACTTCCCCCTTACTGGCACAAGTATAAACCCCAAGCACACAATGCATATTTGTAGAGGCTGTTATTTACAACACGTTACCCGGAAGCAGTGGTATACGTTTAGCGGAGGGATATACGAGTCTTATGCACTTTTCCCGCACTCACAGCAGCGATACTGATTCGGCCTCAGGCAACTGGGAGTCTTTCATCCGACTTGGACTCCCGATGAGAGACTCAGGAGGAACCCTGATCTATCCCTCACAGGCTGGAACACTCTCCCTGAATACCCCTAACTTTCCCTCACAGGCTGGGTATCTGTCCCTGTCTACGTCCACACGTGTTCTGCCCAAAACGTGGATGGGCTCTCCTTATCTATAAAAACCAACCCAAAATGGCCGACCAAATCTCCAGAGATTTTGTGTCCTATCAGGACACCAGACTCCTCTAAAATGGTGCTGGAGACAACTATAGAGGCCAAATGGTTCTGAACATGTTTCCACATAAACATAGCAATTCGGCTAAAAAGTGAGTATATACAATTGCTAACCCACTTCATCTTGCAGCCAGCTAGGCTGCCCTGGCACTGACAACTGCCTACAGATGTATAGCTGAAATCAGCCATGCAAGGCTGAAGTGAATAGACGAACGCTGTTCGGCTCACTTCGGCTCGGTTATTCACTCGGCTGCCTTCGGCTGCTTTGTGAATAAACCTCTATATGAATAGTGTAGCCTTTCATCAAGCCAACAGAGGAGCTCTTGCACCTTTTTTATTTGCCTTGCTGTCTTTGCTGCTTTGTTGCATTAAACCTGATTGCACAGATTACACGGGTCCTAGGAGTCATCCATCCCTTATATGATAATTGTGTCCGAGGTTTCCATTTGAAATACAAAGTGTTCGGGGCGATGTACAGTTCATTTGATATGCGGTAATTACATAAAATACCCTTTCATTTCTTCTTTTTATCGCTAAAGATACATTTATATTAACCCCCCCCC